TGTCAGGGGACAAAAAAGGTAACTCATGCTTACCCAACTCAAGTTTATTGCCTTCTACATTGATTTTTGCCGTTATTATTCGTAATGTAAATGATGAGCTGATTCTAGATAGTGGCATGAGGGGTTTGATGAATAATTTATAAGCCGAATTCCTATTGTAGCTGGCGGCGTTGGACTTCATAGTCTACACAACTTTTGATGTATGTCCTGATTGACTCAGGAAATCAAAATTTCTTCTTTGGTAGCTGGTTATCGAATCTATTATGGTGGGGGAAAATGCTGACTATACGGCCAAACAAACGCTAAATTGCAAACATTTTTTCATCTTTATTATTTTTTTACTGGTTATCACTCTACCTTCTCTATTGACTTAAAAAAATAATTTTATCGTTATGGAAAATATTTTTGAATAATTCTTTATTTGCTAAAAGTTTGTTATTGTATGTGCAAACATTCATCTCAATGCTGCATTTGAGGTGAACTCTATTTTCTTTTTCTATTGTTATTTATTTATTTTATGTTTCATTTTTGTTTTGTTCTCGATGTACATGTGGGTCTGAATTTGGTTTCATCTATAGCATTTGGCATTCGCTTGATTAAATTTGTTTATGATATGTGTCTAGGATTGTAAAATGATTGAACCGGTTGAACTTTGCTTGAGATTGGTTCATCCATAACTTGTTTAAGCTTATCTTATTAGATAAAGAAGTTAAGCTAATAAATGATTGATAAATGAAGTAACATGCAAATAACAAAGTTAATCAAACTGGACTCATTTTTAACTCTGCAAAATAACTTGTTTGAGATTGGTTTAGAGATAAACAAGTCAATCTTATGCTGATACTCAGTGTGCCAACACTAACTTGGATCAATTAATTTGTGCTTATATACATGTCAAAACTAGATGTTTTGTTTATTTACGTTTCAATTTTGTTGATAATTATCTCTTTTATGGTGGGTTTTTTTATAATTAATTATGGTTTACGTTTTGCTCCTTTGTCATTTTTCCTGTTAGTAATTTTTTCATATTTACTTTGTTACCTTTAGGTTGAGTCAGTGTCGGACAAGGAAAATTTTACATTGGAAGAGCTTCTGGATGAAGAAGAGTTAATCCAAGAATGCAAATTATTAAAATAGTCTACTCATAACTTTGTATGGCACTTTTACTTTTCAGCTACATATTTCTGCTTATTAGTCTTGTCATCTATTTTATGGATGTCTTTTTAATGAGTCATGGTCCCTTGACAATCACTCCCTTACCATAACTCGCTAATTTCACTTTTAGTTTTGAAGTTCTGTGAAGACAATGTGAAAGTTTATTGGTGTTTAGTTTGAGAGATAGAGCTCAGGTTGAACAGTTGTTGCTCTACATCATTCAGGAGTCTTCAGATGATGCAGATTGCAAATGAATGTTCAGACGTCAAATTATTTTAGTTTTCAAATCAAATTTATTTTTCCCCAAAACTGGTTTTATAAACATTAGGTATTAACTCGATCTACTTGGTTGTTGATTAGTCACTGCAATAGGTCAAGAAATCATGATCTATGTCAAGGATATGCACACTGGATTTAACAAAAAAAGTTGGAATTATTACATATCCTTTGATTTCCAATAGCAATCTTGAAACTCTCGTCCCGCGAGCGTCCATTGATTTTGGGTATGATGTTAAGTAATTGTTTTGAAATAGATTATCATTTTAACA